CAGCAGGGGGGAGACACTTGGCTCAAATCATCTGTTTTGAGTTTAAAATGTTGGGATTCAACAACCAGAAATTATATTGTTAATCAAGTTCAACAAATTTCTCATTATTGACTAATAATTACTGTGAAATATAAGGTTTATTTACAACTTTTAGATGTCTGACGTTTATAATCAACGTTACCATCCCCGGGCAAATTTGAAATAAGCACATGATGATGAACATTTACAAAATAAGTGCACGTCATCCCAATACTTTAATATTATTTCTCATAAAACTGATACATGTGTCATACGTGGGTAGGGCTGGGCACTGGTTCAACAGTTTAACAGGGTTAGGGTTATTTTGAGCTTTTTTGGGTATTAAAAGAATAGGCCACCGTTTTTACATACTGACATGTTCTTACCTTACCTTAGACTAGTTGATATGTACCTGTCTGGTCTTTGTCCGTGCGCTCTGTCATGCAAACGGAGCACAAACGCAGCCTCTTCCACATACTGTATGGTTCCAAATCAGCTCCCGTTAGAAGCTACCAAACTCTTCGCTGCTTCTCAACTCGCGCTGCTTCTATTGACGGAAGTGAGCGGGAGAGAAGTCTTTAGGAGTTAGTGCACGGAGGTAGTGCTCCTCGTATTATTACGCCTCACAATATAGTGCCCCTTTATATCTGCTGAGAAAATCGACATGTTACATTTCTGTGTTACTATACTTTGTAGTGTAACACGTCACGTAACTGTATTTAAATAGGCAACACGTGGAAGAGTTTGGTAGCTTCTAACGGGAGCTGATTTGGAACTATACAGTATGTGGAAGAGGTTGCATTTGTGCTCCGTTTGCATGACAGAGCGCACGGACAAAGACCAGAGAGGTACATATCAACTAGTCTAAGGTAAGGTAAGAACATATGTCAGTATGTAAAAACGGTGGCCCATTCCTTTAATAGAAATGTCACATTGAAAAAACAGGAAAGACATTGCTCTTTTTGCAGCTTCTCGTAACGCATTGGTATGGCCTGTATTTCCTCAAAGTCTGTTAAAGGCCAATGTGATCATTATCATTATTTTGGCCTCAGTTAGAATTGTGTGATTCATAAAACTGCTTGTTCTCCTCCTGCGAGCTCACAAAGCACCTATTTTTTGTGAATATGTAGATCATGCCTAATGTACAATGTAACATCAATGAAGTTTGAGCGTCTGAGGGAAACTGGGTTCTCCTGTTTAGTCATCTGAGGGAAACCAGAGCAAACACGGAGAGAACATGCAAACTCCACTCAAAACACCCCTGTCTGGAGGTGGAGATGAACAGGACCAGGACCTACTTTCAAGAGAGCACTAATCTCTCATCGCGTACTAGGAGCTATATTCACTTCATTTGGAACTGGAAACAGAACAGTTGAGGAACCCTCACGAACAGCAGGTATCAAAAGGGGGTCTCAAAAAAAAAAACAGAACAAAAATCTATAGGTTCCAAGCCTCAGAGAAGTGAAAATCCACAAATGCGTTTACTGAATGAGGGGCTGCATTTTTTGTTGTAATGTATTTCTGCGAGATTCTGTACTTTTTCAGTTTTCCCCAGAGTTGTGGGTCCATAATATGAGTGGAAACAGTGCAGTCCACGAGCAGTGTTTCCAGAAAAAGCAGTCTGGACTGTTGCAACGTCTGTGTTTGTACAATATATGTTTATGATCACGCAGCACCTCAGACTATTGAAGCAGAGAAAAGGGAAGAATGCAACAGCTGTAACTTTGTTAGCATTGAGGCTTGTTAGCGCGCAGCTAACATGAAGGAGCATCTAAATACAAAGCAGTGTTCCTCCAGTGTGAAAGGATGTCATCAACTGCTGCTGGGGCCTAAACACTGAAGCAGTTTTTATTACTGTGGGTGTGACACACGGAGGAGGAAAGCAGAGATGCTGATGCTGAAACAGTGATTCTATTAAATGTCAAAGGGCAAAACTCATCATTATTCCACTTGGGTTTACCTCAGATCTATCAATACATGGTCACTGCGAGAATTAAGATGTTTTAAATCCATTTTCTCCAAGTAATAAATATAATCATTTCCCAGAACAAATTTAGTAAGGTGGCGCTATATTACTAATATGGCGCCACCTTCATATGAAAGTCTGATCCCGACAGAAACAAGCTAATCAGGGCAGGGCCTGGTTAGTATTGTGATGGGAGACATCTGGGAACACCAGGCCACAGTGAGATGGCTGTGGTTGTAAAATGCCAAACCCGTTGAGTCCTCAGGTGAGACATTTTGCAAATCCGAAAACCCAACTTTTAAATTCAAGGGAACTATGAGTTATATATTGGGCTGTTACATCCATAGACTGTAAATATTAATCTTATTTAGCCAAATAAATGTTGAAAAGGTGAGTCTAATAGTGCTGTCAGTTGAGCTGTAGTTGACCCAAAGAAATGCTTGGTGGTTCTACTGTATCTTGGTTTTCCCCCCCGTTTAATTTCAATTTAAGTTGGTTAACATCTTGACTCGGATGCCATCGACTGATTTAAAAGACTAAACCAAGAACTGACCACTTGCTGCTCAGTGTTCTGAGCTGTGATAGATGTGGGAAATGTATTTTTATCTGTGGGAAAGTAAAGCCAGCATCTTTACATGTTATTCTTTATTCATTCATTCATTCATTCATAGTCACAGCTTGCATTTAACCATGTGTGGAAATGTCTCTACGGGGACCACAGAATGTATATTTCCCACTTTTTCACTCTGTCATGTGACAAACATCAATCCATGTCCTTCTGCTTTTCCTGTCGAGTCACAAACAAAAAACGATACTCTATAATGTTTGACGACTTAATGAAATGGGGTACCTGATTTTTGCTCATTATAAAGGGCAATGAGATTTTTTTTCCGGTTACTAGTGGTAAAACATGTATGCAGATGAGAGAGTTATAGAAACTTTTTTATTGGACAAATCAGGGTAGATTATCTTGCATTTCTCTTTCTGACTATTTTGGATCCGACATGCTTGTTTCTATATTTGACAAGAATGAGTTTAGAATGTGTAGAATTGTTAAAAAGCATCAGAATTGCAATTATCTTCTTAAAGGGGAAAACAACTTTATTTTTATTTTTAAACAAAGATGCCATTAACTCAACATTTGCTTAATTAACTTTTGTAATAGGTTTTGATTGTGTTGTTTTTTTATGGTTCTCAAGAATTCATGTTGCTACTTTAATGTGAAACATCTCTTATCAAACACATTGTCATTTATCTCATTACTATTATTATTATTATTATTCTTATTATTATCCTTATTTAGTTAGTATGTAGGTCAGTGAGTGAGAGAGCGTGGCCATGTGGCTTCTATAACCCCTTTCATACAGCTGGTCTCACCCCCACCACTCTCCTCTCACCCCCACTACTCTCCTCCCCCACAGCTGGGGCCAACGCAAACCGGCTGTGTGCAGTTTGAGCCGGTCAAAACCAGTTCAAACCAGCTCATTCTAGTTTAAACCTCCACTAGCTGGACTGAAGGAGGATTTAACCACCTTTTTATAAAGAGGGGGTGGGGTTGTATGCAAGATTTAATTATACTCAACCCCAAAACAAGCTTACTATTGTCACATCTGCTGGTTATGAAGCTCAGCATGTTTGAATTCAACGACTTAAAGTGACTTAATTGAATCCTCTTGAGACAAACCAATAATCCCTGACTGTGTTTGTAGGAGGTTCTTGTTTTGAAGGGTCTCAAATGTTATCTTGTTTTCAGAAAGATTGTCACTATAAGATAAGATAAGATGTACTGTATAGCTGTTATTAGTGTTGGCTGTGTATTAAAAATTATTAGAATGGTCGACACTGAATCAGTTAGGCCAGAAGACTAATGGTTCTGCTAACGGTTGTGGGTTCGATTCCCCCCCCCCCCCTCCCCCCCACACAAGACCTTCTCCACTGACTCCCATTGATGTCTGCTGACGTTGTGTTCGTTGGCAAGACACTTTAAATCTCACTTTGCCTGAAGCCCCCAGCGGAAAAAACAAGGCCGCTCAGAGCAGAGCTGAGCAGCCGTCCTCCCGGTGACTAAATACACCCCCCCCCCCCCCTTCCCCCGGACATGGATTAAGAGCTCAAAATGGATGGATGGATGATTATAAAATTTGAGACTCACTTTAAACAGATATCAGAGCGGTAGACAAATCAACCCATGACTTTTTTTAATTGGTACAAATATTTTTTTTGAAATACCCATTTTAATATTTCTGTAATTTGCATATGTATTTTATTATCTCTTGTTTGATTTTCAACAAAAAACAAACTCACAATTATAAATCTTAACAAAACATGATTACCCCATGCACACATTCTCTCTGGACAGTTCTAAATAGAAAAAATCTCAAAAGTTTATCCTCTGCCAGAGACTGTGAGTGAGGGGTCTACCATCTAGTGGCAACCATCTTTAAAATGTACCTCTTAGGACACAAATTTGGTCAGTATTTACAAGTACATTTCTGTGAGGTTAATGGTTTATGCCACAAACTTGAAAATATGAAGTGAAGGATAACTACGTTTTTAAGGAGTTAGGATTTAGCCTTTTTTAACCTACTGTGTAATATTTGAAGTGCTTTTTGAAAGTGCCTTGATTGCTCTCACCCCTGATGAGGGGCATCTCCCCCACCGCATGGAGTGAATAATTAGGATAATTCAAACTCCCCACACTTTGTCTTTAGGTTGCAAAAAGATAGAGGGAAGCATAATATTAATCATAAACACTGATATTGTATGAACTTGAAAACCATGCACAAAGTTTGATTTAATGAAGTCAGTCCCAAAAATGGCATGTTTTGTGTGATTTCCTTGGCCACTTCCTCTTACTTCTATCAATAAATGTTTCAGGGAGGGTTTGGAATATGGAAATCTTGTTATGCTCATTATACAGTCATGTTAAACCTTTACATTTCTCCTTCTATTACAAACATAAAATGTACTGTGAATATGTTGAATGTTGTTAATTTACGTGTTTTTCTCTTTTCAGTCAACGTCATGCGCTGCTCCGTATGCTACCAGGATTACAAGCAACTCGACATCATTGACAACTATTTTGTCAAAGACACCACTGATTCCACCAGCTCATCAGATGAGAAGTCTGCGCAGGTCTGTCATGACAAACGTGTTCGGCGACATTTAGAAAAAAATCTGACTGTACAGAAGAAACTTTCTTTAGGCTTGACTGCTGCATTTCAGCCAGTTTAGAATTGTTAGTCATGATAGCTTTGGTACATACATTATTACTGCTCCTGACAAGATCTCATAGTGGCATTGGAAAGTTGGTCAAATGCAGAAGTTTTCTTATAGAGACAAAGTATTTCTTACCGTACCTAACTACATATAGACTGCTGCAACAAAGATCCACGATGTATTTTTGATCTTATGCTAATTAACTAGATCTAATTCAGTTTTAGCCATTATTTGCCATTTGCAGTAAAACCACATTGGAATATTATTGTACATGTGCAAAAGTACCTCAGTGTGCAACAGAATAGAGCATAAATAAAACATGTTTTAAACATCAAGTGAGTTAAGTAATCGGTCTATTCATTTAAATTTTTTTGTGTACAGGTTTGCACAAGTTGCGAGGACAATGCAGGAACAATAGGTTTCTGCGTGGAGTGTGGCGAGTGGCTGTGTAAAACTTGTGTCGAGGCGCACCAGAGGGTCAAAATCACAAAAGATCACACTATCCGTACCAAAGAGGACGCCAACACAGGTAAAGTCAAATAACTGCACAGTAGCTGCTATGAAATGGCGTTGATCATAACAGATGTATACTTATCGTCTGCTGCCATGGTAACCTAAGTGCTGCTTGCTCTGTGATTTGCAGTAGTTAGACTCTTGACTTTGGTGCAGGCCCAATGGAGGACCTAGTGTTGATTAACTCTTAATGCAGCGGTTCTCAAAGTGGCAGGAGGTGCAATTATAAATGCTTTCCATTGTATTCAATATTTGACACTAGAGCTGCAACTAACAATTATTTTGTAATCGCTTTAATCTATCGATTATTTTTACGATTAATTGAGTAATTGCTTGGCTGTGAATTGTGTAGAAAACATTTTTTTTTTCATCACAAAAAGCTAAAGTGGCAACACTCGAGGTCGTATTGATGGCGTAAACTTAAAGTAAATGTTTGTAAAAGGCTCTTTGTGCTAATTCTGCTATCTGATTGGATGAGACAGACAGATATTCATGAAATTATAAAAACAAAGTCGGTTTTAATCAAAAATACTACATTTTCATGTCATTTTTGCTCTGTTTGAGTCCGTGTGAACCAGAAAACGATTAATCGATTACTAAAATAGTTGTCGACTATTTCAATAATCGATTAGTCGTCGATTAATCAATTAGTTGTTTCAGCCCTATTTGACACAAGTCTGTCACTTCTCCTTGTATTGGATTTTCTATTGCTCCATATTCCTGCTCCTTAATGACTTTGCACGACTGGGACTGAACTGGAGGGGCTTTTCTTGGCTGGAATGATAAAAGAGCAAACTGCTTAACTTAGCTTAGCTTAACATAGCTACAAGAGGGAAGCTCCCTCTTCACAGTCCTGGTTTCTAACATTTATTGTAAGGCCCCCATCTGGACTATTTTGTAGGTGCACCTGTGTTATAACGTCCCCCTCAACACCAAAATATCACTTTTTAAAAAAAATTCAATTGAATTGTCAATTGTCGAATTGTCAAATGTTTCAAGTGAAAGTGATTAACTGTAATCAAACACGTAAGAGATGTAAAAGTATAATAAAACATGGACAAATCAAAGTGCTAGACCCCTCAGAGGACCAACACCTGTACTGTCGCTTGGGGATGTGAGCCTCACATCTGACCACTGCAGCAGCAGCAGACGTAGGAGAGGCTCCACATGAGGCGCTCTTCAGAGGGGGTTGTGACCAGGGGGGTTTCTTCAATCATTCCTGTTCTCTGCTTTGGCTACTTGCCTGCTGTGAAAAGAACCACAGCCAATCAGAAGCAAGGACCCCCCTGAGCTGCAACCAGATAACGCAAAGAGATGCCGCATAAAAAAAAAAAATGCTGCCCTTTTAAAATGTTGAATTATGAATTCCCAGGAAGTAAACACACGTCTTTTGCCAATGAAAGAGGATTGTACTTGAGCCGCCGCCTGCTGCTTTTGATTGGACCGCTGTAATTGGAATCAGTTTGTTTGACCAATGAACATGTTTTTATTTCCAAAACGCACAAAAAACCTCAACAGCTTCTGTGATTGAGGCAGAAAGGAGCTGTGGTAAACTGAAAGTAACGATTACTAAGTTCAGCAGGGGACAAAGTAATACTATTACTGACCAAAGTAATACTATTACTGACCAAAGTAACGTTGTTATTCCCAACACTGAATAATTCATTTAGAACAAACTCGAGTGGCATAAGATGACATTTCACGTTTCCACTGGCACACCACTGCACAAGCACAGAGATTGAGCAAGGTTTTTTTTACTGTGGTGTTTCAAGGATGCACATTTGTAATTATTTTCTTTTGCCTTGTATTTGTTTACAAAGAAGATACATTTTCTTTCTGGATAATTTAAAGGGACAGCACAGTAAAACTGACTGATCTTTTTTCTGCAGAGTCTGTGGGGTCATCATCGTCATCAGGACAGAGGCCTGTGTTCTGTCCCATTCACAAACAGGAGCATCTGAAGCTTTTCTGTGAGACCTGCGACACACTCACGTGTCGAGACTGTCAGCTGCTGGAGCACAAGGAGCACAGGTACTGCCTGCTCACTGTAACCACAGCAACCACAATAAATTGAACCTATCAAATTTTAATTAGCTTATAAAAATCCATTTTGTATCAGTTATTGACCCCAGTACTTTGTGAGTGTAGAATGGCATGATTTCTGATATGGATTGACAGCACTAATTACATCAGATTAATTACTTTGGTGATGATTTTAATGTCAGTATTCAAGTTCACTACAAAATGAAGAAAAGTGAAAAAGGATTTAATAGATATCTCTAGCTGCGTGTTGTATTTGATTGTGGATATGTGATTTTCAAGGACATGTGAACGCAAAAGAGTAAACCCACAGTGGAACAAAGCCCATTTCTCCAAAGTGGCTCTGGTCGCTGAAGTAAATTGCTTGGATTAGCTGGTTCTTCGAGTTTTTGGTCAAATCTCGTATTAGCGCTCGCTTTCAACCACTCACCGCACACATAGAGATAAAATTCATCGTCACCATCTCGGCACCACACTGCCCTGTGCCTGTAATCTCTTAATCATTGGACTTTGACAGCCCTAATATAAATGAAATATATGATATAATTTTTTCTATTTTTCATTTTTTTCAACTCAAGTTACCAGTTCCTACAGGAGGCCTTTATAAACCAAAAGGGTGTGATTGAAGCCACAATGGCCAAGCTTCAAGATAAGAAGACCCTGGTCCATTACACTGTGTCTCAAGTGCAAAGCAGGTCTGTGTTTCTGTTCTGTTTGGACATCATGTTGTAAATGTATTACTTTTTTTAAGCATGGTCTTATTAATTTTAGGCTTAAAGAGCTCAGTGAGACGCACAAGAAGGTGGAGCATGAGATCAAAATTGCAGTATTTACGTTGATTAATGAGATCAATAAGAAGGGGAAGTCCCTGCTCCAGCAGTTGGAGGTAAGACATTTATCTTATTCGGCAACAACTCGTCTCATTAGAGCTGCAGACTCCTACTTATTTATTGTCAAGCTCAGCATCGCTGGCATGAATCCAAAGAGCTGCAGAAAAAGGCTTTAAAAATCTGAGTAAGACCTCTCTATGCACTACTGCCCCCCTGCTCATCAAGTCTTTACATTCTACTTGTTGCATGTTATTGTGGTTCCAAGTTTATACGGATTCCTGTTCCAACATATCCCGTTTAGAGGTTGATACAGAAAAGATACATGCAGTTAACAACAGTGTAGTACTTTAATTTAATTTCTTTCGATTTTTTTTAAACTAAAAAGAACATGTCTCCTTTTCAGGGTGTGACCAAAGAGCGCAGCCTCCGTCTGGCAAGCATACACAAGGACACCACTCAGCTGGCCCAACAGATCAACCATGTGTTGAACTTCTGTCACTGGGCCATCTCCACAGGAAGCAGCACTGCTCTGCTCTACAGCAAGAGATTGGTACAAAATCTTAAACGATAGTCATTTTGTCCCCTATTCTACATGACAATTTATAACTGTAATTGCTGTGCTATACTTTTAGGAATCTGTTTTTATAGGGTGCAGTTTCTTTATCCAATTAATGGCAAGTTTATTTGTATAGCACAGATAAAAAGAATAAATGTCATGAAGATAATAAATGATCAAGGTACATTGTAAAGATGGAAGATAAAATCCCTTTGTTTTGCGAGACCTGGACCTGGGCAAATTACTGCCCGATTACGGTTTCTATTAGGCGCAGGGACTTTTTTCCAGCTGTACTGTGAAGCCCTGCAGCTGCAGTAAAGCTGTGCCTTCTTAAGCAACCACGTCTGTGTAACATATGCAGACCACACCACAATATCTGTGTTTGGTCTGCGCTCATTCACAGCCGGAGACATCCTACTTTCCTCTTCCCTTGGCGGCTGTCTCGTGCAACTGAATGAATAGGATCAACTTTATTGATCTCACAATGATCTCAGTAATGGTTTACTATTCGTATTAGTTTGCCCATTTTAAATGAAATATCAACAGAATGATATCCGGTCAGTCTATATTTGCACATCCCGTCACTTGGCTCAGGCGTATCCACACCCGTTTGCTTGCGTTGAATTTAGCTGCCCCAAAAGAGGACAAGAAATGTCTCTTCAATATTGCTATGTTTGATTTACAGTCTTATCTTACTAAACCAGATTTGTATTCTGTTTGTGTAGATTCTGTACCAGCTACGTCAGCTCTTCAAAGCCAGATTAGAGCCCCCTCCTCAGTCTAATGGAGTTGTTCGTTTCTTCTGTGATCCTACGTTCTGGGCAAAAAATGTTGTGAATCTTGGTAAGCTTCTGTATAACAGTCTAACATTGACAATAGATTTGTTTTTACACCTTATTCACCCATTTCTTTTCTGATGGTTCCTTTTCTGACTATAGGTAATCTTGTAATTGAGAAGCCGCCCCCAGTTTCACAGCCTCCAAACGTTGTGTTGGGTGGTGGTCCTCCTCTTCCTCCGGGGCACCCAGGCGGGCACCCAGCTGGGCACCCCGGAGGATACCCAGGCAAACACCCAGGTCAACACCCAGGTCAACACCAAGGACAGATCAACCTGGCCCAGCTCAGGCTGCAGCACATGCAGCAGCAGCAGCAGCAGGCTGCCTTTGTCCAGAAACATCATCAGCAGCAACATCAGCAGCAGCAGCAGCAGCAGCAACAACAACAACAACAGCAACAGCAGCAGCAGATGCAGCAGCAGATGAGACTGGCCTCACAGATGTCCCAGCAGCACACCAGGCAGGGGGGGCCTGCTCTGGTACAACAGGTATCACTTTACTCCTTTTATTTCTATTGGCCTACATATTATTGTTGATTCTTTACTCCTTACAAGCCTATTATAGATTTTTTTTAAAGGAAAAACACATGTTTTAAAATGATTAAATCGGCCGTACATAATTAAATAACAAGTTCTTAATGACCAGACAATTCTTTGATGCGCATATTTGATGTAAATTGGAATTGGTGAAATGGCTGTATGGCAGACACACATCTGAGTTAGAATAAAGGAGGCATAATTATGATTGAGGTGGGCAGGCACAAGGATGAACACACACTAATGTCTCATGATTTTATGATTGTTCTTATGATTTGCTACATTAGGCTTCCAATTGCTGTAACTATATTACCATATATCTGTGCAGCCTCCCCGGCTCATCAGTATGCAGCAGCATCCTCGAGGGCCTGGGGGCATGAATGGTGCTCCGGGGCCCCCCATGTTCTCTGCTACCGCACACCAGATGCGCCTGCCAGGGCCCTCCCAGGGCCGCATGCCTGCAGCTCAGCCCAGACACAACGGACAGCCTTATCCTTCAATGATGCAGGCACAGCTCCAGAGACAGGTTGGTTAGCCTGCAGTCCTTTTGAATAATAAAAAAATGAATTTCTCATCATGCAGATATCCACTGTTTGTGGATAATAATTTACTGCATCTCTTAATTTCAGCAATGTTTCTGTTTTAAAGTGGACATATCGTGTTTTGAAATAATTGATTTTTACATCTGAATCATTAATTTGTGGCCTATATAAAGCGTAACTGCAATGCCTGGGTCTGAGTCTCATTATTTGTAGCTCTACGGGCCTTTCTTCTACACCTGTTCTGAGGTGTGTCTGAGAGCAACCTGTTTTGGTGCTGTCTCTTTAAATGCAAATGCGGCACTTTTGACCACCCCCCCTTCCAGGTGACACAGGTTCAACTCCACCCCGAGCGGCCATTTTCGTAGTTTCTAAGCACATATACAATTATCTCATAGAAACTTCTCATTACATCGCAAACATGAAGCAGGTCTTCCTCATTGACTGAAAGCAAATGTTAAGTTTCATTCTTAGTCCAGTCTTATTATCGACTCTTCTCTTTTTAGCTTTGGGATCCATGCGCACAGTCTATGATGCTCACACGCCGGTTTGCTTACAACAGCGGCCGCCTGGCGCGGGCCTACGTCGCAGGATATGACACACTACGTTGACAGAAATGTTTAAATTGAATATTACTTATGCACAATTTTACAGCATTTAAAAACGTTAAGAACGTTTTTCCTTCTACAGAAGGAAAGAGACGCATGCGCCTCCGGAGCCGCAGGTTGCCGACTCCTAGTTTATACAGTATGTGGAAGGAAAAACTGTAGAGGATCAGGATATGTGCAGTTTCAACAATAATATAAAATGCAATAGTCTACATTAAAGATAGTAATAAACATGTCTCAGAGTGAGGGAGGTGGACACAGACAACACTATTATTTGTTACAGGGATGAGAATTGGTCAAAAAAGACTGAAATGCATATTGTCAGCCATTTGCTGGCTCTAAATCTGTTTAATTTGTTCACAACATATTACTTTTGGACTCAAACATGAACTTTTAATGCAATGCAAAATTTAGGTATCAGAGCTTTATTTAGGGTGTTTAATCGCACTTCGAGAGGGGAGACGCGGACTGCTTCCTGCAGCAGTGTATTTATTGGGTGCACAGATTACTCAAAGACACGCATGGTCCTGTGCGCGTTTATGGGGTTGGGTACGTGGCCACGTTGAGGCTGCGCGCTCAGCCACAACACGGTGGAGCGGCTGCGAGCGGCTGGACTCACAGCCTCTCGCAGCCGCTGGACGCGGAAGCTGCTCATTACAAAGCGGCCGCAGATGCCCTTGGAACACTGCGGCCGCTGAGGTGGCGGAATCCCGTTCGAGTACATACAGCAGGTGCCCTGCGGATACGCGTGCCCCGCTCGAACAATTCTCAACGGATTTACACTTCTCATAAACATGTGTTTTGTATGAGGCAGACAGACTGGCCCAAATATGGGCATTGCCTGGTACGCCCGATGGCCAGTCCAGCCCTGTTCGCTGGCATCCTTGAGCTTGGACTACAAATTCGAAGTGATGCACAATAGAGGAGGGCTGGGCCGAAGTGTTTTGTTAGACGCCCATGCCCTTATATAGCAGTCTCGCTGCAAACACTGTGACGTAATAATTCTAAACACGTAATAGAGAATGGCAAAATCAGAACGGGTTGAAAAATCTTACCTAAACAGAATATGAAGTGTTCTCTGCAACCCATGAAGAGACTGATTTCAACTTTTTTGCACTTCTAGAGGCTCCAACTTCACAACATAAGGCATTTAAGGCACAAAAAGTGGATTTTTCATGATATGTCCCCTTTAAACATGGGAGGTTTGGTTTCAAATCAAGGCCATAGAGAACAACTGTTCACACATGTAAATTTGAATTCTTTGGGTGTTGGTCAACAACAAAAATATATCCAAACGTGAACAAAAACTAACCTTTTTTTAGTATTTTATTTCAGTTCAAGATATGTCCTTTTACGCAGAAGTTGGACATTTATTTAAACGCAAATGCATTTGTATTAGGGCTGATGATAAATCTCGTAAATAGCAAGTGAGGTGCGAGAACGAGCACAGCGACTTTCATGGCTGGAAAGAACACAACATGTCCAGAGAAAAGATGAACTTGTTCCTGTAAAAACACTCCCATATTTTGTAACTGCAGTGCTTTGGCCTCAGGAGAGTTTTATAGAAGCAGACATTTTAGAGAAACCGCAAAGAAAAGCAGAAAAAACGGGTTAAAAAGTCTCACTCTGATGATTTAACTAACATGTAGTAACTCTTGATTTGATGCAGGTTTTATGGTTGTAACTGTAGCCGTTGCTTGGTGTGAACGCTCCATACCATCTTGGTTTTTAGCAGACGTGCCAATGAGGGCCGCCCAGCCCTTATGGAGGGCCGCCTGGCCTCGGCTCCTCCCTCCTCCGTTGTGATCCATTGAGCCGGAGGCCATGACACATGTTGGAAGGCACACACTCCATCAGTGGTGTGCAAAGGGGTCATTAAATTTAGAGTTTAACGCTATATATGGTTATTGCACATCACATATCACACTTATGCACTGCATTCTGCGGCCCTTATGTATGTTTTATTTAATAATTATTATTTAATGGTTGATTTATATGTGGATGAAAATTCACCCCTGCCACCAGGAGGTGCTGTTTGATGATTTTAAAACTGCAGTAACAAGATGTTAAAAGATGAATTCAATTTGGACCCTGATACAGTCACAATCAGGGGAATGAAAGACTATCTCAATCTTAAAAGGAAAGTGAAGAAATTAAGAAATTTAGTTTTTCTTGTTTTCAAGTCTTACGGCCTGAATTCATACACAACATAACAAACTCCTGCTCAGTGGTGATTCTAAATGTCTTAAGGAAAGAAAATGGTTATTCTCAAAGAAGAACAATTTGTTTTTCCTTTTTTTCCCCTCCTTTCTGTGCTGAGTTTGCATGTTCTCCCCATGTCTGCGTAGGTTTAATCTGGGTGCTCTTGTTTCCCCTACCACTAAAAGCATGTACAATTGGTCTGGTATTTGCCTGTGAGGAGACAAATTTTACAACAATTGTATAATGCTTTGTGACCCTGTCTGTTAAAGGCGCTATATACAGATGACTTTCTTGCACACTTTGTTGAGCCTTTGGTCTCCCACAGTGCTTCTTTTCTGTGACAATATTTAGTAGTATTCATACTGAACAATGTAGCTATTGTATTCAGGGTGGACTTTGGGTGCAACTATTGATCACATCTTGATGGACGTAACTGTCGAAAAGTGAGAAATGTATTTTAGAAAACACCAAACAATAGAGCTGTGGGAACCTTTAAACTATTCCTCACGTTTTGTTTTAAAAATAACCTTTCGCTGTAACTCAATTTCATATTTTGTCAAATCAATTAGTTGCCCCAAATTAGTGCCGTGTGAATTCTACAATTTGCCAAAGCATATCTAAAGCATGTCATGATTCATTCATTCTTAGTCTCACTGAACTATGTATAACCTTTCTCTGGTGAGTGCATGTTTTGTGCATAAAATGTAGATTTATTGAACACACGGGTAACTCGATGACGTATAAATGTTGGCTGATTTCACTTCTCCCGTATCAACGAGTCCTCACTAACCTGTAACTACTTGTGTTGAGTTCATGTCTGCAAAAGCCCAGCCCTGCTACATGTAGTCCCTTTCTCTTTGTGTCCAGATGTCTTTAGAATCTGAGCTGAGCCACCAAAGATTTCGTTTCTTACTACAATCAGGGGTTTGGCACTATTTTCTTATTTTTTTCATCTGTCTTGTGCAGCATGGTGCTACACACATGCATGACTAACATTTCCAACTTAACAGAAAATCCCTGTATTTCACAAACGTGTCATCTTCTGCCCTGCCATATCTTCTCTCTCATCTCTCCCTCTTGCCAAGTCTGTGTTCTCATCCAGTCTGTCGTTATTCTGCACCACAGCACTCGAACCCAGGCCATGCGGGGCCCTTCCCTGTAGCCTCCCTCCACAACGCGAACCCCACCAGTCCAACCAGCGCCAGTATGGCCGGAGCACACGCCCACCGCGGCCCCACCAGCCCCATACTCGGACCCATTGAGCTCATCCCATCTGTTACCAACCCGGAGAACCTTCCCTGTCTGCCCGAGATCCCACCCATCCAGGTTTGACATTTGGCCCCTAACAAGGGTTCAATTATTTCTGTAATTATAAATAAAATGTGAAACCAATATTTGGCATAGGCCAAGCCTTGGTTTGATATTTTGATTATAATGTTTTGATTATTATTGACTACAGTCCTTTTTCAAAATATTAGTTTTGTTTTTTGTTTAATTTGGGTTTTTAGAAGCTGTGAGTAACATTTAAACAAAGGCTTTAATTTACTTTGCATGTAATATTAGTCTCACAAAGTTTAATTACAGATGTAAATGGACTTTTGAATGATATTCTAATTTTCACCTGTTTAATAGAAATCTTTTTGTCCATGTGTATTTCACGCCATTTTAGGGTGAAGATTATTTGTTGCAATTGATTACTAAGATTTGTTGACAAAGTTGCTATTTCCTTTTTGGTTCAATGCTCCGTAACAAAAGATTCAGAAATTTAGTCCCAGATGTAAACATATTTTTGTATTTATTTCAACCTCTTAATCATTGCAGCCCTCCAGGCTTCTGTAGAGTTGCAGAGTGCACATACAGCAGCATGTTTACAGAAAAATGTCCAGCTTAAAAACACAATATATATTTTTTCTCTAAAACGTACAATTGTTCAGTGTGTGTTTTGAGAGTGTGACTGTGGGACATCAAAGGGAGAGCGGCCCGAGGCTACAATCTGGTCTATCTTCCCAGTTTCATTGATGCTATATCCTAAGATCTTCCAATAACAGTAGACAAAGTATTATAGCTGGATGTTTGAAATCTTGGCTTGATTGAGCTGTGTTGTTGGTGAATATATTAAGTCTAAACATGACTTCTCACTCCTCACTCTATTGTGTGTTTAGCTCGAGGACGCAGGCTCCAGTAGCCTTGGGCATCTCCTCACTCGGTACATCCAATACAGCACTCACCAAATCCCGATGGACATGAACACATCTCCTGGGTTGTCCACACACTCTCCAGGATCATCAGGTAAATGTTTGCATTTGACAAATAGAACGCACGCTGTCACCTTAGGCAGGATCCTTGACCGCTGGACTCTGTTTGGAGATATTCAGGAGGGGAGAGCTCGCCCCAGATCATTAGTAGAGTGGAGGAGTATGCCTGAGGAGGTCATGAATAATACACCAAAATTGCAAATGACTAAAAGGTGATTATGTTGAGTTAGCTGAAATCACACATAAGCTCATGCTCATAGAATGGGAATTATTATGAGTTGTATAAATATGAAATAATAATTTCTATTCCTGCAATTTCAAAATCTCCAAAACCGTAATGCTGACAATATTTCCTTTACTTCAAATCAGTCTACATCTGTATTTATCAGAATAATTTGTATTGCCATGTAACTAGCAGTCATATACTAGGAAATTGCTTTGGCTCTCAAACGAGTCAAAAGAAGAGAATGGAATAAGGCATAATATAAATCTACATACATTTCTAAAATATTATTTTTTTTACAATTATATCTCTGTAATGTTAGAAATAGAATATCACAGGAACGTAAACATTTTTTTCAAAAATTATGAAGAGAAATTTCTTTAAAAGCATTTAGCTTTAGATCCCATGTGAACACTCCTAAACATATAATATTGGCATATATATCTGTTTTGCCCTAACTGTTGTTTTGGCAAAACGGTAAAATTTTGATTGTGTTGCCCCCTGAACCATTGTCACCTAGTGTTTCATGAAAAAAGTTCAATATTCAAGTTTTGAATACATAATTATTTTCTATCCTCAACGATCATTGCCCTGAGAACACTGGAAGCAGAGGCCAGAGCAAGTATTATCCTGACCTCGTTTTGGACAACTCTCATATCTTTGAAAAGATCAAATGCTAAAACATAACGGTTACCTCATTCAAAGTCAGAGATAATATTTGTGACTTTGTGTGCGCCGCAGTGATTAGTTCTGAGGACCTACCACAATCTTCTCAGTTTGGTGTTAACTGTCCTCTGCAACAGTGTTTTATTGTCCATGAGGCTTTGATCTCCCCATAATGGTGAGCGGTTCTATTTCATCCCTGCATAGCACTGAATGTTCCCTTCACTCATGCACCGCCCTCTGGTGGTCATCCGAGATTCATAGAACCATGGTTATATACGTAACCTTCGTTTTACAAACCTATAACATATAGCTGCCTAGTTTGTGGATTCCTGGATATATCTGTCTTCCAAGACTTCTCACTTTGACCCATTGGCGTTTCGAGTTGTTCCTTGCTGATGTAGGAGGATCTAAGGACACTGATGATCCTGGACATATCAGGACATTTATTAACATTTCTCAATGGGGTATGTGTTTGATTCTCTATGTTGTCGAATCAACAACTTTGTAAAGTCCGAGAATACTCCTGTTGTGATTTAGGGCTATACAGAAATTAATTGAATTGTAGTTTTGCAGGTTATTTTTAGAACGTAACCTGTGTCAAGGGGCCACTTCACTTTGTAACTTTGCCAAAACGTGTCTTTTAATGTGTTCTGCATTTTCAGGAGTGTCCAACACTCACACGCCAGTGCGGCCTTCCAGCACCTCCAGCACGGGCAGCAGGGGCAGGTGAATTGTTGAAGAAATGCATTTTACCTAATGAACAAATAAAAACATGTAGAATAATTTGATTATGTGACTTAGCTGCAGTTCTTCTGGGAGAACGGTCGGCGGTGCAGCGGTGGAGCAGGTTCGTGTGAAGCAGGAGCCTGGGACTGAAGAAAGCTTCACGTGTAACACTTCCGTAAAGACAGAAATTGGGAAAAATGGAAGGAGTGCATGCATGGTAGGAGCCCTCTTCTTAATTTTGACTACCCCTAGTCTGTTACATCAAAAATCAGATATTTATTGATATATATGCTTAATATAACGCTTTTGATTTAAGCAAATTAGATAGATAGATACTCTGTAGACACTTTATTTATCCCCGTAGGAGAAATTCAGGTGTCCAGTAGCAGCAAAAATTAAACAAATATAATTTGCTCATTCTAAAAAGATAACAAAAGTAATAATCAGCAACAGCCCTTCAGGCCACAGCAGCACAGATTGAGTAGCCTCGGGTCGGACGGGACGTGTCAAAAGGTGGAGTAGCCACTTGGTTCGGACCATTTTCTCTGCTCTAAAATGCTAAATGCTTCATTAGCATTTTTCAAAAAGTTAGCCTTCCTCCAGTGGATTTTCGGCTGATCTGCTTGGTTCGGACCATGAATCCTCTCTGCTCTGGTCTGGACCAGTGCAAAACCATGAACACTGTACTGCAGCAACATCTCAGGTAGAAAAAAGCAGTAGAAATAAAAAATTTAAAGCACAAAACAGCAACTGTTTCAGAGCTACTTAGGACTTATTAATTACCTTTTCCACATTTTAATTAAAACCCACAATTTCAATTAGCCACCAGGCTGTCAAACTTTGAAATAGGTGTACCCTCAAAAACCCATGTTGGTCTTTATCTAGTCTGGTGATTAATCAACAATATGAGAAGTTGTGTCTCCAAAAGGTTGGGAACCACAGCTATAGACAATGAATGATCCTTTCCAGCTCCTTAATGATGAATTATTTGTACAATTCCAGATGAGCAGCAGTGAGAACAGCACTAAAGCTCCTTTGTCCTCTGTGGAGAGCCATGAGGCTTTGAGGGGTCTGGACGAGCTCATAAAGCAGGAGGCACAGTCCCAGTCCTGCGCCAGCTTCAATGGCTCCTCCACGACGACCTCGACCTCCCCCGGCAGCACACTCTCCAACGGCACCACGGAGAAGAGGCCTCAGGGCGGGGCTTCAGCTGCCAATCAGGGCTCGAAGGAGGATGACCCAAACGAGGACTGGTGTGCCGTGTGCAACAACGGGGGAGACCTGCTCTGCTGCGACCGCTGTCCCAAAGTGTTCCACATGCGATGTCATGTCCCCACCATTAAAATCATCCCCAAGTAAGACGAGTTTTGAATTGTATCACACTGTTTTCATGCTACATCAGGCAACATATTTCTTTCAAAATTATTATGTAGAAGCCGCATTTTTTCTAAAGAAATCATGACAAATTCATTTTTGATGATTTGACTTTTCTTTCAACCTAGGGGAGACTTCCTTTGTACATACTGCCGCAATCTATCAAACCCAGAGATCCAGTACTGTGACGAGAACCGCAAACAGAAGGGGGAACTGGCCCTCAGTCCTGTGGACCAAAGGGTCAGTGTCAAGATGCTGCTGTAACTTTTTCTCTTTAAACAAACAATTAACTTCTCTCCTGTTTGCAGAAATGTGAACGTCTTCTGCTCTACATCTTCTGTCATGAGCTCAGCGTAGGCTTCAGGGAGCCAGTCTCCTCCTCAGTAAGTATCGCAACATTTTCATCATTAAGGCGCGTTCAGACCGGACTTAACTTTGACTTCAAAAGCATCAGGTTTGCATTGAAAGTGAATGGTGAAGCGCGTCAGGTGAAGCCGAGAGCCCTGGCCTCACTTGGCGCGCGTCAAAAGCTTAAAGTCGCGAGTAATACGCGCTCACTTGAAGCTTTTGACACGCGAAACGCTCGCGTATCAAAAGAATCCCTTTGACGCCGAAGCTGAGCTTTTGAAACTTTGAGCAGGCCATTGCAGTAGTCTAACCTACTGGAGACAAATGCATGGATAAGAATCTCCAAGTCTGCTTTAGACACTATGTTTTTGATCCTGGCAATGTTTTTTAGGTGGTAAAAAGCTGCTGATGTTACTGATTTGATGTGGCTATTAAAATTTAAGTCTGAGTCCAGTATTACCCCTAGATTTCTGACCTTGTTTGAAGGTTTTAGGGAGAGAGACTGTAGGTGACAGATGACGCTCTCTCTTTGTTTCTGGGGACCAAAGACAATCATTTCAGTTTTGTCTGCGTTTAGCTGAAGGAAGTTGTTTTGCATCCACTCACTGATCTGTTGGATACAGTGAAGGAGTGAGTCCACTGGTCCATGTTCTCCTGCAGTCAGTGAGACATAGATCTGAGTGTCGTCTGCATAGTTGTCATGGAGAGAAGTCATGTAGCTGCTGGTGTTTTATTGTCATTTTTGTTATTATTAGTAATATTATTTGTATGATAGTAACGTTCTTAATAAGTAAGTAACAAAAATCATTGTACACATGCTGTGTAGTAAACGTAATTTATTTAATATAAGAAGAAGCTGACGATGAGTCTGGCTCAAAAGCAAGAGCGAGGCAGTTCCGGGCGGGCGAGAGGCGAGGAAGAGGTGGGGAGAGGGCCGGGGAGAGAGGGCCGGGGAGAGAGGGCCGGGGAGAGAGGGCCGGGGAGAGGGGCCCGGGAGAGGGGGCCCGGGAGAGGGGGCCGGGGAGAGAGGGGGCCGGGGAGAGAGGGGGCCGGGGAGAGAGGGGGCCGGGGCGAGAGAGGGGGCCGGGGAGAGAGGGGGCCGGGGAGAAGGGGGCCGGGGAGAGAGAGAGGGCCGGGGAGAGAGAGGGGCCGGGGAGAGAGCGAGCTCCGGGGTTTGGGAACTCAGACTGGGCGAGTGACATGCGGAAGTACCGCTGAAAGCGAAACTCCTCCGTACGAAGCTCCTGGAGTAAATGATGAAACTTTGCAAACACTGCAGCCTCTCAAGTCTGTGGTGAACCCAGAACATGTTTTGTTGAAGCCCTACGACAACGTTATTTGGCTTTATATAACATATAAAGGCTCGCTGCTCACTGAAAAATCCACCGCTGTCCTGACTACAGGCAACAGACAAGCTCCTCCCACCAGCGTCAAGCGCGTCACTCGCGTCACAATACACAATACAAATGTTACATCAAGCTGGAGTCATACTATGACCTGACATTCAAGACTTTCAATAGGATTCACTTTCATGGAAGCAACATTGTAAACATTTCTGGCTTGTTGTAGGTCCCCAATTACTACAAGATCATAAAGCAGCCCATGGACCTGAAGAAGGTGAAGAAAAAGCTACAGGTGCGGAGCTCTCACTATTACCAGTCCGTGATGGAGTTTGTGTCCGAGATCAGGCTCATATTCAAGAACTGCGCCCTCTACAATGAGGTGAGTAGCATGGCCGTCACTTTAGCTGCTGTATATAAAAGGAGTGGACTGAGTGTGACGTCGCCCAAAGCATTTGGCTTTTACCAGAAGAATCTGATTTCAGCTTCTCTGGCAAGCTCCATGGTAGGGACATTTGAAGTCATAAAAAAGTTGATCAAAACCAGACTGGTCCATTCCCATAAGCACTCATTTCAATTCTTGCTTTGGGGATAGAAGGCAGGATGGGGCAGTTATAGGTTATATCTTGATTTTAAAAATAAAATCAGATTTAACCAGTTGGTATCATGTGTGCCCAAACCTAGAAGTCTGACACAAACTTTTACTGCGTTTACTTTTCAATGAAAGTGGAGAGGAGTCAAAGGCTACTGGGCTTCAGCAAGCTAGCTCTGTCCAGTCCTATTATACAATCTTTTCTCTTTACTGGCTTTGAGTTAAGTGCACTACTTTGTGTGTGTGTGTGTGTGCATGCGTGTAGGGGCCATATTGCATTCTGTCGGTTCTAATGAACAACACTCGGTGATTGTAAAATGCTATTTCACAAAATGCATCTTACCTAAACCGAAATGTAATCATTGAATGTGGCATCATCAGTCAGTGGTCCTATGGCACCTGTGGGATGGACAGCTTCTCCTTTCTTCGCATTAGGGGTGTGCGTTGTACCTGGCGTTAAGTTTCATATCACAATCTATCCTAACACTAAACCAATTATTACCAATTATTACCAATTATTGCAATTCTTTCTACAAATGCCCATAAAAATAACAAGGCGGTATATAAATAAAGATTACTTACTTACTTAAAAGTAACAAATGAGCTCCTGCGAGATGATACTGGTGCTTTTTGTTACACTCCCACTCACTAATAAGACACAAGTAAATTACAAATAACATTTTTTAAATGTATATAAGAATTTCAGAGGATAAATATTGTGATATGTCGCCCAGACTTACTAACACCCCGAGTTATCTTTACATGTGGTGGATGCCATCAAGTCTATCCCATACAGTAGAGGGGGGTGAAAGGTGCCGTACTGACCTCGTGTCTGCTCAGAGCAGCTCCGTACTAACACCAGCTTCTCAGTCGTTGGTCTCTGTCTCTGCACTCTGCACTCTGCGTGAACCTTGTTAACATCTCAATCTCACTGAAGTTTCATAGTTTCACTGTTGTTAACCATTATATCGCTGCACCTATGAAACATAGTTAGGCCCGATTTTCTGTGTGTGACGTCTCGTGTACAAATCAAATCTGGTGAAGATTCTTTTGATCACCCTCCGCCTTCACGTCCTCTGGTGAAATGATGCAATTAACAGCAAGGCGAGGCTGTTGAACACAATGACCACTTTTTAAACTAAGTCTCATTATCCTTGAATTGAAAAGGAAAAAAAAGGATTGCTTAATCAAGTATTTGTGATGTAATTAAAGTAAGGGAAATAACTGATTTTTTCAAGGTTTGTTGCAAATGACTTAACCCTGTATGTAAATTCTGTTATTTTCTGTTGGTGTTGTGTAGAAGCCAACAATGTCCAGGCCTAGTACGGACTGTAGATTTACACCATGTGTTTCTGAATGACTGAAGCACATGAGCTGTAGCTGTCTGATGTTCGGATAATACCCATTAATATTTTGTACATATGGTGTATTATAAGGGTAACGACATTTGAAGAACCTTTAGAACTTCTAACACCTCATACAGAGTCCTTGCTGTTGGTTTCAGAATTAAGCCCTCAGCACTGCTCTCCAGTTGTCAGCAGATTCCACCTCTGACTGTTCTCATGTGACCTGTGTATTGACATTTTCTCTTGCCCCTTTGCTTCACCTGTAATGCTATTGCCCCTCTTCAGATGTCTCGAATAATCCAGGTTTATGATGAGAAGAAACAGATTAATAACAAGGTAAGAGCATTGGTGTCTGGAGCACAGGTGCCCTGTCCACTCCCACCAAGGTTCTATGAAGTCTTAGCTCTTTGTCATCTAAAGGTCACTCCTGTTAGTGCATATGCTCAGGTGGCAGAAGGTTAATCATATGTCACATGAATTTGTCCTGTGTTACTTTTATTTCCCTTCAAATCACGCTGACTGACTTTGAAGTGCACTTTTGTGTGTGATTGATATTTTCTAAAGCAGGCTAAATCATTTCATTTAAAGTGTATAAATAGATGTTTTATTTCACTGTGGATTTTGCACTCTCTACACTTTGAATGATTTATTCCCTACAACTGAGACGCCTTTGCTCTCACGTGCCTCCTCTGACCATTGCGACATAGTCACGTTTTACTTTTTTAAACTGTTAGGGCTATAATAATGAAAAATAAGATAGTTGTCAACTATTATAGTAATTGATTACATTAACTGTATGTATGTCCCTCCATAATGAGTAGGAGTTTATATGACACTGAAAATTCCATTCTGCAGTCACTACAGAATAATCAAAGTATTTTCACTTTGCAGAAGGATGTCCCACACCAAAAACCTCTTACTGAGGCGCACATGCAGGAAAAGCATAAAGAAAGCACCACACTCTCAAGTTGCAGCTGTCAATTATTCATTATTTAGACGTTTCAGCCGCAATGACCATATGTTTTTTTGTCTTTAATAATAGCCGCCTGTAACTTGACTTTGTGCTGCTTTCATTTAGTTTAGTGTTTTTTTGTTTTTTAGGCTAATGAAAAAACGTGTACAATGTGTAATAAGTCCTCTCTATGAAGTCCTTCTGAGGGATCACTTGACCATTGTTTTGGTCAAATGTATTTTTTTACATTTTTGCTAACCTTTTTAGTGCTTAAGAGCGATAAAGCTGTACTGGAGGTGCACAGACTGGTTCTCAATATTGATCTAAAACAATCTCAGAAAAGTCTATACTAACAATCCATAGTTTGTTGTATATACTGTAGGAGACCAAAGCATGTTGTGTTATCTTTCCCCTATCCATTTGGCACACATCAATTCCTTGCAAACACCAAGTCTCCAAAACCTTAGCCCAGTGTGCAGCGGTTTAGAACTCCTTCATGAAGCCTCAGTGGGATGTCTCTGTACAGGAGAGGAGTTAGACACTAGGTGTCCTGCATCAGTATTTGTTTAACCAGCTCTAATTTGTCTCCTCATTCTTCTCTTTTCCCTCCACCCTGACCCCTTCCTGCCACCGCCACGTCCGCCCCTCAGGTGGGATCAGAAATGGCCATCTCTGGTAAAGCTGTGAGCCTGTTCTTTGAAGAGAAGTTACTAGAGGTATTCCCAGGACAGACTTTCCCTGACAATCCTGAACCAGAAAATGTGGAGGAAAAGCAAAACCAAGAAGATTCGGATGATTCTGAGGACGACTTTGTACAACCCAGACGGAAGCGGTTAAAAACGGACGAGAAAGTGTTGCACATAAAGTGAAGAGTGCACGACGTATTGTTCGAGATTACAGACACAGTGCTCTATCATTAGCTTTGATTTCAGCATCAACTTGTGAGGACAAGAGCTGCTTCACTGTACAGAACACCGGAACGGACTACATTCATCAAGACATTTTAAGTTATAAAACTTTTTTCATTGGTATATAACTTGTGACATTTGCCTTATCTGAAAGTATCTTGTTTTTAGAATCATACGTGTACTACAAATTACCTGAAGTATTTGTACGAATATGTGGAAGCATAATGTAAATAAGAGAATCTAGACCATAGATGTTTGGATGCATCAATAAAACTTATTGAAATACAGTTGTTCAATGTTTGGGTTTACATTTATTCGATTTTCAATAGTATGTTACTTTCTGAAGATGTAAACCTGCAATTCTCTGTAGAAAGCATGTATGTGCACTACTTTATTTTCTCCCAGTTAAAGTTAGTGGTTTCTACTTGACATGAGCCTGGTGTGACGTGTATTTTCTTGACTCAGCTCTGAGAAGTGCTGAGTATGTTTCAAGTCAGCTGATAACAGAAGTCATCACAGTATGTGGGGCAAAAGTGCTTCTCTTCGTTGAAAGATCATCCCTTTGCAGGTAAGGCGTTCTCTATTTAGGGCTTATTAGCTACGTTTCAATTAAGGACAAGTAGTTTTAGTTTTGTGGCTTAACTTTTGCCCGTGTAATTTATGTTAATGAGGTTCATGGCAATGAATCCCATTAGAGGCTGTTAATTGGTTTAGTGGTCAAGTTATGAATTAATAACGAGCACAATCATATTCTTGATTAAATCGAATCCGGCTCGATGTGTAGGTCCTTGATTATAGCGTTAATACATAATTTTTCACAACTGCCTTCTACAATGTGCGAGGATTCACGGTCTCCAAACGCATGGCATCTCTGGACTAATGAGTAATTACTACAAGGCGTAAACTAATCGCCATTAACACCGTAAGTTAATATGTGCTGAGGTGATGTGAAATGTAAAGTCCTGGGACATCCGGGAGAGTTTCCGAGGAAATGGCACTTCAGTGACAGAATGCTCTCCATAGAGTTTAATGTTGGCATTCATTGTATAAATCTATATAATCATGTTTTAACGCTGTCTGATTATGATACACAGATTAAATCATCCGTTAAAAATCGATCTCTTTATTTAGCTGTTTTTCTCACGCGCAAGTATGACGTAATGAGTCCCCAGCAGCCAATCAAAGCGCAGTCACGTGGGTGTTGTTTATGTGGTCTTCCGCGTTGACGGTGTTCAGTCCGGGGGGATCGCGTTGAACGACAGAGAGCTTTGTTTCTGCTCCCGAGACTGAAAAGGCAAGAACTACACAACAAGTGTAATAGTTTACCTGTTATTTTACTCATGTTTAGCGTTACGGCTCGAAATCATTGCTCGTTGTTGACTTTCTGTTTTCCCGAAGCTAACCTGTGCTAGCGCAAGGGTTGTTTTGCTAACTTAATGTTTATATTCTCCCGAACTATTGCAGATGTTAACATATTCTACTGCTAGTTTGGCATGTGTTATGTGTAGTGTGTTTAGCAGACGTTTATATAGTTAGTGTGAAAGTTCCTGGAGTTTGAACGCTTTGACTTATTATGGACGTTGTTGCTTATTGATTCAGTATGTATTTTCTTGTTTTCTTAAACCTGTATTGTGCTTACGACAGGGCTCAGGATCTAATCTTGAAATCGAAACCGTATTGCGAAAAGCTGCATGTTTTTGGAAACTGCATAACACGAAAATCTCTGGACAGAAATAAAAGAGTAGATAAGCTTCTGGTTGGTATTAATTTATTCCATGAGCTGTATCAGTAAAGCTTTAGTGTCACCATTGTTACTAGGAATTTGCTTTGTCGATGTGGTGCAACATAAAATGATGAACGACCGTAGGAATTTGGCATAATAAAGCTACATTTACAGTTGAGATGGGAAAGGACAAAAGTTCTATTTTTATTTTTTATAGTCACAACAGCAGTCGTCTCGGAGAATTTACAACATTATCAAGTTCTCAACAACAATTTTTGTTTGTGTAATACATGGCAGATTTTTTTATAATCAGACCTTTGTGGGAATTGAGCCTGTAATGAGTGCATTCCATAATCTACACTAATTCTGTTTATCATAGATTATGCCCACTGAAACCCTCATAACACATGTGGCGCCTGTGTGGACCACGGCGGGGAACTTCACCACATTATGTCCTAACGGGACAAAATGGGTTTGGGACATCATTGGAGAGTGTGCTGACGATGCTCGGGACATGGCCAGCATCTACCTCGGCCTGCTGTCTATTCTGTGTTTCATGGTGTCGTCGTTCCCGTAAGTATCTTTCAGTATCCCTTCACAACACTATAGAAACATAACTTTTAGTGGTGGTTTAACTAAACATGTTTAATTCCTATGGCGTTTCTTTTTCCCTATGGTTAAAACTTCAAAATTCTATAAGTGCTGCCACAAAAGAGCCTGGGAATCTGTGTGCCTGCTGTGTGTGCTCAAATAATTTAAAACTGCAGCTCATTTGTAATATTTATTCTGGTGTTGGCCAGGCAAGAAACTAAAATGATAGCTATTATGTTGTGTTGTTAAACATATTATATATTGTTTCTTTCTGCACACTCTTGTTGAAATATAGCAGATGCTGTTTTATCATGTGATCGCTGGTCTTTACTCATTGTCTATTTCTATGTTTGCAGCCAATACTACCAGTCGTGTAAAACTGGGAACATGGACAGTGCTCTGTCCATTTGGTTCCTGCTCTTGTGGTTAGGAGGGGACTCCTGTAACCTGGTGGGCTCCTACTTGGCAGATCAACTACCTCTTCAGGTGAAAAGGCAGTTTAACATTATTTCACAATCATTCTTTCAAGGCTCAAATACACATTTCATCCCGTCTTGCAGACATATACTGCAGTTTACTATGTTACCGCAGACCTTCTGATGTTGGGCATGTACTCCTACTATAAATTAAAAAACAAAGCAAACAATGGTAAGTATTTTAATAATTTAAATCTCTTCTGATATTGTTTCCTTTATTTCCCCTCGTGTCTTTTGAGTACTAGGAGTTGAATATTTGTTTAATTGTTGCAGAGCGGGTCCTTGTACATGTGGTTGCCATGGCGTGTGTCATCAGTTCTTCTGGGGCTGTCTTTAATATTCCTGCTCTGGACACTAAGCAGGAACTAGTCTCTGAGTTCAGAAGCCGTGCGCTGCTCTCAGTGTCCGACGACGCTCGTGTGCGGGTGAGTCATGTGGCACGGCAGACTTCAATCTCATCTTATCTAGTTTATTTTGAAAAAGCAATAGCGTATAAACCACTACCACTCCACTTGCATCTGTGCAGCTCAGCCCTTTTCAAACGGTGTGTCAGGACCTTCTAGGGAATGACAATGCAATGCCAGGGGGGGTGAGGGACCACATGGAATACACCTTTTTTTTCTTCTACAGTTCATACTGGAACAGGATTCCTAGCCCCTGTAGCTCATACGGACAAATGCAATTACCTTCTGTGAAAAAATATTAGTCGTACTTTGCTTGTGTGTAAATAATCATCATTGTGGCTTCTTCACATTTCGCTCACATTTTTTTATGTTTTTTTGTTTCCCTATTTAGGCTTTTACAACAAAAGAAATAATTGGCTTCACTATTGGCTCCGTGTCCTCGGTGCTGTACCTGTGCTCCAGACTTCCTCAAATGTACACTAACGTAAGAGTTACACGTGTGATCGAGTTGTTGTCTCTTTTCCTTCTAATGTGTTTTGTGTCTGCAGTTTAAGAGAAAATCAACAGAGGGAGTGTCCTACTTCCTGTTTGCTTTGGTAATCCTCGGGAACACCTTGTATGGGCTGAGTGTGCTCCTGAAGAACCCAGAGGGAGGTCAGGCTGAGAGCAGCTACATGATCCACCACCTGCCCTGGCTCGTCGGCAGCCTGGGCACACTCTCTTTAGACGTCATTGTGTCCTTTATTAATAGCGATAATGATTATTTGATGTGTATGTATAGCGGACATGATAGTCTGGCACTTTACAGCCGCAGCCCCACTGTGGCCCCTGGTGTTCCCAGAGGTCTCCCATCCTAGTACTTACCAGGTCCTGCCCTGCTCAGCTTCAGAGGTCTAACTGGATTCATATGTAAGGGGTATTTGACTGCGCACATCTCTCATTCCACCTTTGCATTCATAGAGTTTAACCAACTTTAAGGTTGTAATGATTTCATCAAACTACAACCGGCCCTTTAAGGGACAAAGATTATAAAGGCGTATCTATTTTTGACCCCATCATAAAAGTATGAGACAGACGCTGACATTCCAAATGTGATTTGAAGAGGTTCCTTTTCTCAAAACCTACTGTTACGTGTTATACAACACCAGAGAAGAGACTCATATTCCTCATCTCCATTTCAGAATGTTGACATTTTTAGGTTTTTTGGAAAACCAGTTTAAAGTTAACCCGCAATGTATTGTTTATGGGGGATCCCCATTAGCTTCCACCAATGTGGTTGCTAAAGTTAAGACGAATATCTCATCAATTTGAAGACCTGACGATGGCTAACGCACGTTCTAAAGTACCCTTCACTACTTTGACCTCCGTCATTGCCAACAAAGGTTATGAAGAAGATGACAAAGTCTGAGATCGCGTCTTTCATTCAGACAGAAGACATGTTTTATTGTCAATGGTAGAGACAGCACGAACAACAGAATGCAAGTGTATTATACAGAGCGGAGACATGGAGACCTCCAATCAGCAGCTTCCACGGTGGCATGTAGCTTGGCCTTCAGATAGACAAAACAAGGGAAAAGTACTGGCCCATGCAAATGTAATAAGGATGAGTTTGAACTTTAACAATAGTTGCTTCAAAGTGATATGAAATCTCATTTACATTACAAATGTTTCCCTTGGTCTTCACTGGGTTCCCTTACAGTGTTTTGGCCCATTCTTCCATGGAGATCTTCCTATGAGCTGTGATGTTTTAGGGCTGTTTCTGGGAAAGTATGGCTGTGGAAACAGGATGGTTTGGGGCTGATTTTCTGCAAAAGGCATTGGGCGACTGATCTTTTTTGAGGAGAGGATGAACAAGGCCATGTAGTGTGAGGGCGGGAAATTGTAACTTTTCTTGATTACGTTGTCATTGCGTACAGCTTTAAGATGGGAGCCATAGACAAAAGAGGGGGAGGGAGATGTTTGTACCTGAAGTTCCTGATATTATGCATCTTGGCCACATTGTTCCTTAACCCTTACTTTCAGATCTCCTTCCAGTTCTTCATTTACCGTAATCGTCCAGCAGTGGTCCAGCGGTCGGATGAGGCCTCACCGCTCCTGGAAAGCTAAGACCTGGACCACGTCTATCACTCTGTTCGGTGACATTTATTATAGCTTTAGTATTTTTTTAATTATTTTTTGTTACGTGCCAAATGTCCATTTTTATACCTCAATGTCTAGAGTTGTAGAAATGTGTCATTGCTTCTAAACGCACAAAAAAACTGGTCGAGTCAGCGCACTCGGAGGACAATCTTGTTGCATTCCCAAGTTTCACTTCTCCATATCGAGATCTGCACTCATGACTTTGACTTCACTTTACAAAGACATGCTGCTAGTATTTTGAAGTAAGTTTTTGTGTGATCACTTTTTATTTTTAAATCTGGAGTACTTTTTAACATTAAAAAGAGGAAGTATATATTGAAACCCATTACAAAATCTACTATGACCGACCCTGCATGACACTTTGTTCAGTTCTGTCTAAGTTTATATAGTTACAATATACTTCCATCCATCCATCCATCCATCCATTTTCTACCCTTTAATCCATTTCTGGGTCAGGGGGGTGGCAGTCAGAGATGCCACCCAAGTCTCACAGCACCAGCCCCTCACTGACCCTCTGCAGGTGGTGAGTCCACAGGAGGACGGCTGCTCTCTGAGTGTGAGCATAGCCTTGAGTGGGGGCTTTGGGCAAAGTGGGGTTAAGTGTCTTGCCCAAGGACACAACGACAGCAGTCATCAATATACTTCCTGGAGGGAAAAATTAACGTTTTGCATTGTTTAAAAAAAAAAATGTCTAAAGAACTGTAAATTTACTTGGATTAAGGATTCATTACTGCCTTTTTTACTGTTTCATTGTGCCATATGTTAGCCAATCTTTTCATTTTTATTTTTTCATTTCATTCCATTTCAGTGGTGCATTTATACAAAAAACACTTTTTTATGGTCAGTGGTACTGTATAAATTAAATTATTGCAATCGTATTTGGTCAGTGTTGTGTTGTTTGTACTTGTCCAAATGCTGCCATTTATTACAATAATTGTGTCTAAAGTGAAAAACTGTGGTTGACTCCCCAAATCCTTTGTCATGACCGTTCAACATTCGCCTCCTCTGACCCTGCTCCCCAGAGACGAGCTTGGACCACAGTCTGTCTAATGATAAAACAACAAAACAATACAAATATAAATAATCATGATTTAATTCCGGAATAGAATAATACATGCTATTCTTCAGATATTTGAGACGGTTGTATGAAGTGTGTATTTGAGAGAGCTGTCAACAGCATGACTGGATTGTACTCGTTCTTCAGATGATATAGATTTAAATGGAAGTTCATAAAAGTCGTGTTTGGAGGCAAAAAAAAAACCATTTCATACGTTTTTAAACTTGGCACGGTTAGTAGTGCTCATGTCTCACAGCAGGAAGGTTGAGGGTTCAATTTGCAGCCTTTCTGTTCCCCAAAACAAGCACCGTAGGTCAAATGTGCTGACCACATGGAAACATGGATACAGATTCATTAAACAGAAGTTTAAGACTAATGTGCGAAATGTTTATACATGTTTTGCCTCTACCAGTATCAGCAAAAAAAATTATCTGGTTTCCCTCCGTTTTTTCTTTTTTTTTAAATGATTTTTACTGTTTTTATGGAGGGTTAATTTATTTTATTTTGGTCTGAGTTTTTATCTTCGTTCAGCCCTGTGTTCACACCGGAGCGCCCATTTTCGTATGAACAGTATCTTTTATTGATTACAATTGGCTGTTTTTTTTATAATCGAAATGTAGGAACTATCTTGCATGTACATATTTTGGGGGATAATTGGAGTATACAAATTTCGCAACAAAAAAATCCTGTTTAGAAATGGGGATGAATATATATGATCTTATTTACACTTGTTGTTTGAGTGTATAGTTAACAGTTAAAATACTACCTCAGCCAGCAAACCTGTATTATGATCAATATAATAGTCCTACCATAGAGCAAGAAGTCCTGCCTTGTTCTATGGTAGCACTTATTGTTTAAAGCAGCTACTATTTTTAAATGTTTCTGCTAAAAACGGCATCTCTTTAACTTGTAACTCGTCATAAACGTCCTCCCAAATGTAAATAATGACTACCGGACACACTTTCTCATCATAGAGCATGGGGACATGAGGGGCCCACCCACAGAGGCCCCTGCGTGTGGTTGTGAAATGGGGAGTTCAGAGGAAGAGCTGGTGATAGAGGCTCCACATCCATCATGGACCGTCACTTCCACACTGTTTATAAACACTCCATACGGGAATGTTCTAATGAGAGACGGCAATGAGACACCACCAAAGAACGTCAATACTCATCAATGTCTTCACTGAGTGCTTCTCAAAGTGGGGAGTGCGAGACGCCGTGAGATGGGGAGGCTCAAGCTGATATCTGAGCTTTGCAGTAGCTTGGATCAGAAGGACCCTCACTGCACATTTAATAATAATAATAAAAATACATCACACTTATAAAGCGCTTTTTTGGACACTCAAAGACTCTTCGAATGGGGAATAAAAAAACATTTACAGAAAAGATTGTTTGAACAGATGAGTTTTGAGAATGATCTATAGGGTTCTGGAAGTATTGCAATTTTTGGAGATTACAAAACCCATTCTGCATAAACTGAATGGGATTTGACTAAGCCATATCACTTTAAATGGTCTGTATGGAAATTTGGAAATGTAATGTTCTTTCCACCAAATGACCTTGAGAATGTTGTCCACGCCCTCACATCCACACGACTGGACTATTCTAACTCTCTGGACTATGGCCCTGACCAGTCCTCCGATCACAGAATGCAGCAGCTCGAATACTGACTAGCACCGGACCACACGAGCACATCACTCTTGTGCTAAAATTGTATTGTTTGTCTCTGCACGACCTGGCTCCGTCATATCTCACTGATTTGCTTCCACTTTTCCCAAACTCTGGCTCTCCCTTATTGTGTCAGAGCCTTATTAGAGATCTTTAAATCGCAGCTAAAGACACATTTATTTGCTTTGGCTTTTTAAACATTTATGATAGTGACCTGTATTTTACTTGTGTGTTGTATTTTGTAACGTCTGAAAAGCACTTTGTCACAGTCACATCTGTTTTTTTTAAATGTGCTATATAAATAAACTTGGCCTTGACCTTTGACTTTAATATAATCCCCAGTTTCTTCTGTAGACACGACCTCTCAGACCCTCACTCCAGTCCACCCTGTGTGCTCGTGCCACAACCCTCCTCCTCCCCATCACTATCATGTTGTCACTGTCATTGGCTCATCACTTCAACTTCCACTGGGGCTGTTTCAAATAAATCTTTATTCAAACTTCCATCTCCGTGAGTTATATATTTTTGGTGGTGTCGAGTGTTACACCTTGACCCTGCAGCTCAATAAACATGAAACTACACTGAATCAGTCACCGTCATAGCGCATCCTGTCTTGTCTTTTTACTAGCACTTTGTTAAATAGAACAAGTGTTATTAGTGATTTTGTGGACAAGAATTTCACAAATGTCCAGTGGAATGTCAAAGCTTGCGGACCTTGGGCTGGTTTAATGAATGTTCTGAAGGATCGTGGATAAAAAAAGTAAAAGTAATAGTAATCTTTTATCTATATAGCGCCTTTCACAGACCACAGTCACAAAGCACTTTACAATTGTCGTGGGCAATAAGATAAGATAAATCTCACACTGGAGAAATGTACATGTCACATTTGGCATAGATAGAATCACTCAGATTGTGCAGAAAGACAAGAATAGTGCAACATGTTCAGGTTAAAAACAGTCTGTGCAGGATATAATTATGTACAATAAAAAAGTGTCAATACATTTTTTTGATGATTTTCTGGTGGACAGTATAAGCCACCTTTTTGTTTCACCAAATGAGCATGTAGTTTAAGCAGCTACAGCCTGGACCAGATGGAAATGAAAGACATTTTTTTTTGTTTTTTTTGGAGAGAAATCAAAGGTTTGTGCAGTTAAAGGAGCAGTATGTAAAACATCTGGCCAAGAGTGGTACTGCACTCTGCCTGACTCATAACAAGACCTTTTTTAGTTTTGCAGCCACATGTTACTACAGTAACATATGGGCTGTAAAACTAATTTTAAAATGCAAATATCTCGGCTGAACTATTGTTATCAGTTAAAGTATTTGAAGAGATTGTTTTGTTAGTACCTTTTGACAGATTAGGACCATTTAATGATGACTTAACATAAAAATCTTACATATTGCTACTTTAAAGGTATATTTTACCAGTGTTCCAGACCTTTATGAGCTTTGGCACACACTTTTTTATATTCAAAACAATCACATGGCACTCCACCATCTGAATCTGATACAGACTTAAAACTCAGCAGCCTTTAGTAACAATGCAAAGTCATTCTCATCAAACTGTATCATATAGAATCACATCACAAAGGCACATAAAGCAACAATTCAATTTTTATTTTTTGTGTTAGATATTTGACCTTGTACTGACCCAGCAGCTTTATGATTGGTCAGCATGGAGACCTAACTTTCGATCACAGTTGTGTTCACAGAGCTCCAGAATCCATGGTTTTGTAGGGTTTCTGGTGAGACGGCCTTCAGCAGAGAGAGCCTTCCAAACAATTGATGCTCTGGCCTCCGACAGACCTCTGCCAAGGAAAGTCAAGGCTCCAGGCTGACCACTCATACATCGACTGGGTCTCTACAAGGTCAAGTACGCAAAAGTACTGTATCTACTTTTTCATCTACAAAAGTTGCACAATGCACATTTAAAGTCACCATTTGTAAAAGTATGTAGAAGGTTCCAGCTTCTTCCCTCTGGCAGAAGATACTGTTCTCTGAGATGCAGGACATCTCGTTATGCTAATAGTTTTTTTCCACGAGCTGTTATCAGTTTGAATAGGGCACTTTAATGTTTTTGCACTTGTCTAGATCTGTTTTAGTTGGTCAACTTCACAGTGACATTTGTTTACTGTTTTTAAAATTTGTTTTATTTTTGTCTTTTAATGTTGTTTTATGTCTGTACTTGTCCTGTGCACACTGGGAACTTTTACTAATGTATTCCAATGTAGTGTTACTGCAAATGGCGAATAAAATGAATCTGAATCTGAATCTGGTTTTCTTTCAGCGAGGCCCAAAGCATAAAGTCTGCCCAAACACAAACACAAAGTTAAGCACAAATATAGAAAAACTTTGATTAGATAAATCATGTGTGGGCTCGTCTTACCATCACTTACATGAGAAATAAAAGTTATTTTGAGTTTTGAGTGACTACAGTATCTTCACTCATTTAAATGATTGGGCTCTATGTACATTTTAGTGTCTGTTTTCTCCGAGAAGTTGACAGCCAATTACCACCCAGCAGCAGCAGAATCAGCAGCAGCAGCAGAATCAGCAGCAGCAGGATCCAGGGGTCTGCCGATAAACAGATCAAGACGTCCAATTTGGATTTATGAAGTGCCGTCTTTATCTGCAGCGCTCATGAGTGTGAGCGATTGTGCACTAATGACCAGCTCATGTATCAGGACAAAATAAACACGTTCAGTAGCTTTCAGAGGTAAACTTTTTTAACACTTTGACAAAGCTGGAGAACAGACCTTTTCTGTTTTATAAATGCTTGTCTTAACAGAAAGCCTTTTCTTCCTTTAAAGTAGCCGTTTTAAGGAATTATAGTAGTTATGTGATTATTTTATATGATCAAGTTTGTACTTTGAAACCACAACATGTTATCGCAAATTCCAAACTTGGAATTCGGTACAGTAACCAAATAGTCATGTACAGTATATTTACATTCATAAAAACATTCATACATAATCTTAATAATAAATGTATTATGTTTGACTGTATAAATACACACTATAGACAGAAAAAACTGCAGGTTAACATTCCAGACATGATGTATTTCAGTATTACATTCAGTGAAATGATAAAATATTGTTCAAAAGTCCTTTAACCAGTAATTGTTGAATATTTTGAAAATGAACCGTAGCAATAATCCTCATCATTATAAGAAACAGGAGCGTGGCATATGTGACTTTTCATGTAAAGAGTATGTCACATTTTAAGTTGAAAAACAGAAGTAAATGGACTTCTGAACGATATTTCACCTGTATCTCCTCATATGGGCCTCAAAATTGACTTTCAACTGGTCAAGGCTGGTGTTATAAACATAAGTGTGATACATTCCTCAGAAACAGCGGTGATATCCAGCCTTAACTCCCCCTGACCCTTGCTCTCGGGGGACGGAGCGGGATGCGAGGCCTGCGTCCAGTTAAACGACAGCTCCTTAAGACGCATGGAGACGATTGTCCACTTTCACTCGGGGCCCATTCTTTCGCGTCACTCCCCGCCCTGCACTTATCACAGGGTCACACACAAAGGGATAGATGGCTGCTTTCATTTCACCTCCAGCCTGGACACATTCACCATCCTGCATCAGCCTTCTCCTTCTCTGAGTAGCTGCAAGAAGCTCAATAAACGCTGCTAAAGTCACGTGACAGGCTCCGCAAAGCAATGGAAACGTAAATTGTCAGTTATTGTTCAATTCAAAGACGGTGAAAGCTTTTTGATGTTGTACAGAATGACTAAATAATTAAATATTGTGTTTTTAAATTGCCTTTAGTGTTTTTCAGTGTGTTTTCATTTACTCAGACTGGTGGTTTGAAATGTCGATATGATGCACTTTGGGTTGTGCACTGTACGAATTGTGCTTTAGAAATATATTTTGTGTGAAGATTGATTGACTGAATGTATTTTTTTAATTTATCTTATCTTGAATACTGTAAATGTGATTATGTGATGTGAGACATATACAATTACAGAAATAGTCCTCATCTTTTGTTCTTGATGTTTTCTTTCTCCTTTATTATCTTTTTTGTTTTTACTATTGATTTATGCTATCATTATCTATGATTTGCTTTTTTTTTTCTTTCACATCCCCTTTAACAGTGTTTTCTGATACTAGATTATAATACCTGTAATGTACACAGCAAAAATACATAATGGGTTGACTAAAAAGGTTCAAAAAGCGCTCAAAATAATCAGGTTTTTGCCACTAACTGCATTCACAGGACACAACACACAGTCCTTCTTATAGCATGTTTTTAATTGTCTAAAATGGTATATTATGATTGCCTTGGCTGAGGCTCAGAAATTGACTTGAACTTGACTTTTTAAATTTGTCAAAATTTAAAGTAAGTAATCTGTCTGTAAGTAAAATGTCAGGTAACTCAGATTTCCTCCCATTTCTGATGTAGTTCTACAGTCCTTAATTAAGTTTTTAAAAAAAACATCTATATACGGTTTTAAGCAGACGTGGGTGGAATTTATTCGGATAACACTCAACTAAAATCTCAGAAGGTGTCTGTAATGAATGCATTTTTCCCTTTGTAAAAATGAATGCTGTGCGAATAGTGCTTAAATCCTGCTCCCCCCACAGGCTCCACCACCTCTGCTGCTCTGACCTGAAGCTCTGTTTCTTAATATTACTATTCTTAGCTAGAATGATAGTAAGAACGATCCATTTTTTTGTTTTGTTTGTGTGGAGGATTTTTATTTGCTGCTATGACACGAATTTACTCCTACATTCTCATAAAGTAATCCTAACTATCCTTCAATGTGATAATTAAGTATAAGTTACCCTGTGCACCTGTATATCTATTCCTTTACATCTGCTAAGCATGTATTATTCATTAACAATTTCATTATGACAAATCATAGTTTCTTCATGCCTTATTCATGTTTATTGGTTTAGTTATTAAAACGCTGAGGAGAAATACAGAAATGAAAATGACCTATCAAACTATATTCCATTCTAAAGCACCTCCACTTTATGCATAAAGCCATTGTAGATTGTCCTTTTAAATAAGTAAATAGCAATCACATGAATAAAGGATCTCTCTCTCTCTTCCACAAAAGCAATCACATTTCATCATGTGTTCCTTTTGTAGAAGAGTTAAGATTAAGATGGAGAGATCCTTTAGTCGTCCCACAATGGAGAGATTTCAGATTTATAAATGGCTTGTCAGAAAATCTCACTGTTGACTGAAGAAGTGTGTCAAATTATCCCAAAAACTTGAATGAGCACCATGAGAGGAAGTCCTTTTCAGTCTATGATCTGAGAGTTTAGTTTGCCCGCCTAAACATTTGCAATCTTACTACACAAAGTCATAAAAAATCTCCTCTACACATGAACCCCTTGTGTTTCTCCCCACTGTTGGAAAGCGAGTTTGCGACGAGTAGCTTGCATGTTGAAAAGTAAACATTGCGGCGCTGCAGAGTCGTGCACCTTGCTCCAGGAGTCTGTTCTGAGGCGAAATCGTCAGTCCATGATCTGTCCATTATTAACAGAGATCACACACTAAGCACGTAAGTAAACCAAGGAGAGGGCGAATGTGAAGAGCCTCCCCTTTGACATCAGGCCTCCACAAACACAGGGACACAGCGACATGCACCATCTGGACCCAGCCGCTGTCACAGTAAGAAAATAACACAAAACTTTTATCTTCTGTACACTGCCAAGACTGAATGTACATCTTCAAACGGGACAAAGAAAAGAATTGGTGCCAGATTTGTTTCCCATCAGCATACACATATATTTGGAGTAAAAATGGAACAGTGCCACTTACCTGGGTTAATTCCACCTCCAGACGGGGCCTCTCTGTGTGGAGTTTGCATGTTCTCTCCGTGTCTGCGTGTATAGGTGTCTCTCCCGTTGCCTTTTCCCTACCACTAAAACATGTACAATTAGGCGTGGCGTGGGTCTCCTGTGTGGGGACCTCGCTTCTTTCTCTGTGTGGAGTGAAAAGAGCAATATTTTGTGACTGTCTGAAAAAATACGTACATAGTTATTAACTAATATGGACTTATGTTTGACAGGATTTTTACAAGTGAACACACTCTCCAAACAGCATCATATCATATCTATATGGATCTGAAGTTCTTGATCCATGGCTTTAACAAAGTCTGAAATCTTTTAGTACATGATGAGGCATAAATTGTTAGCTCATAAAAGTTTGGACTATTACATATTATTTGCTTTTTGTATGGCTATATTTATTATGTGCTTGATAAATTCTTGGATATGAAAAATACCGACATTGCCTGACTATCCTCTTTAGCTACATAATGGAGATGAATACTTGAACTTTTATGTATTTATTTAGCTAATATACAGTGAATACACATCATACACAATAATCAGACACACTCATTACAATTATACTCTCACAACTAACAATACTCCCACTCTCATACCACCTATGGTTTGTATATACTTCCTTTCAGCAATCATACTATCAGGTAAATCTGTTTTTTTTTCTTCTTCTCTTTTTTTTCCCACTAACCAAAAAATTGCATTGTTCCTGTGTAGTTCCTGTGTCGGGCCT